TTTTCACAATCTCTTGTCTAACAAAATTTCAAAATATGAGCTTTCTAGACATAAAATGATGAAATTAATTGTTTTTATATATCAAATATCTAATTATTTATTTGCCTAATCAGCCAATCTAAATTGCCTAAAGATTTCTAGTTATCCGCTATTTATTCCACGTCACCACTATTTGCATTTTTTTATTATTGAAAAGGAAAAAAAACACCTATTCGCCCAATCTTCATCGTCTCGCCTCCGATTTGAAGCCGTTCGCCTTCCTCAGCGGCCATCGAGCTTCGTCGGCAGTCGATGGCCCTAGGCTGCTTGGATCCCCTCCTTTTTTTCCGCTCTTTTTTCCGATTTCATTAGCGGAAGCCCTTGCCGGTTGCGGATGGGCTCCATCTTTCCGGCGTCGATTCGTGACTTCAGGTGGGTGGGTTCTCTGGTGTGCGGTAATGGAGCCGTGGTGCCGTTCCTGGGGTGGGACACGGCTCAATTGCTCGGCGACTTGCTGCTGAGCGATGAGACGTTGCTGTTGCTCAAGGTCACCCTTTGGTCCTCTGATTGCGGGTTGCACGGGGCCGACGCACCAATTCTCCTCTCCGTGGAGTTGTTCGGGGTGGTGGTGCTGCAGATTGCGGTGATTTTGGGCACTTTCCAGGCGATTTGGGGTCGGGGCTAGGGTCGTAGCACTCTATTGTCTGTTTGGGGCAATTGGTGTTATGGTCGTGGTGCGGGTTGGCCTGCTGTGGTTCCGGGATTAGAATTTCGTCTCCGATAGGCAACTGAGTGGTTTAGGCAATTTCGGGATCGGTGTTCTGGCTACGGAATATGTGGTCGACTTGTTTCCGTTGGTTCGGTTAGGTGATGCTGTTTAGGAAGGGCCGTTTAATTTATATTGTTTTTTTGTTGTTCGTTTTGTGGTTAGTGTGTGTTTTGTCGTGTTTTCGTTTTGCTGTTTTGAGCCTGGGTATCAACTTATTCTCCTGTTGGGAGCCGACACTCGGGTATTACTCTGTTGGGGTCCTTTTAGTTTTTTAGTTTTTTAGTTTTTTTAGTGTTGTTGTGTGTTAGTGGTTTAGTGTTCGTTTGTATTGCCCTGTTGGGGCCGGCTTTAGGCAGTCATTGACAAAATTGACTGTCCTCTCATTCTATTCAGCTGTTGGCTAGTTCTATTCAGCTGGTGGCTGTATCTTTGTACATTTTTGTGATTTATATATAATATCTATATCGTTTTGAAAAAAAGAAAAGGAAAAAAACAAAGTCAAAGATAGTGAGCTAAATTAGTCAAAGAAACAATAAATAAAGGGAAAAAAATGCAAAAATTAAACCCTACTACTCTACACACGTGTGAAGCTCCCCACGTGCGGAGAAAAATCTAACTTTCAGGCTATCGAGCCGCCACTTTCAACCAGTTGAAAGATTCTCACACTCCTTCAGCTTCACTGAAGTGCACCCAAACGACGTCGTTTGCTGTGATCCGCCATTTCAGTTTTTCCATACACACAAGAATAAAGCCACCATCTAATCCAGGTACCATTTAAGCACAGTCAGGTGTGATTTTTTCACTTCAAAGTTTTTATCTTTTTTTCTAATCCCATTTCAATCCTTTTGTTTTTTCAGCTGCACGAGCTAGAATTTGTTGGGTTTTTGTAAAATTCGTCGAACTTTCATAAATCCGTGTATTTATCATCAATGGCGGGTTGTTCATCAAGTATCAGAATGACCCACCTCAAGAATGTCTCAAACGGCATCGTTCTTTCCAGGTGCTTCGCCTCCAAGAGTCCGATCGACTCTAAATTCCAATATTCCGGGTTTAACAAAACTAGAAGAAGCTTGCATTTGGTTTGTGAGATTAAAAAGCATAGACTTGTGGTTGTTAATGCCGTTAATCCTGAGGCCGAGCCTCAATCCAGCGTGGTTGTGACCGCCATTTCCCAACGAGAAAACACTGTTTATGTCGAAAAAGATGCTGAGATTATCGAGAAAAACTATTTTTCAGTACCTGATATCGATAATGGTGGTGGCACTAATGGCGGGAATGGGAAATTCTCCGGCGGTGGAGGTGGCGGCGGGGATGGTAGTTACGATAATTACGAAGAAAATGAATTTGGACCGATTCTGAAGTTTGATGAGGTGATTAGGGAGAGCGAGGCTCGTGGGGCGAGCCTTCCAGCTGACATGTTGGAAGCTGCTAAAACAGTTGGTTTAAGGAAAGTGCTTTTGCTTAGATATTTGGATTTGCAGGTGAATGAATATCTGCTTTTGATGAATGCTAATTGAGAAAGTGATAACTTTTATCGATTATACAGTTTTTATTTTTATTTTTTTAAAAAAATGTGTGATGGTTCCAGGGTTCAGTTTGGCCGCTGGGGTTCTTCATGAGATCGTGTGCTATGCTTCGAAAGAGGATGCTTGCCGACCCGTCATTTCTTTTCAAGATTGGCACAGAGGTTCGTAAAGCTTCTTTCTTGTATGCACATTAGCTCATTTTGTCAGTAGATGAACTGGCACAAAATGCCTAATGGCTAATCCTATATTATTGCTCATTACAAGTTGCCTTTCTCCAGTTACGTGATTTTGATATTGTTTGGATATACTGAGGTATGCTTGGATGTAAGCTGTTTTGATTTTGTTTGGATTTTTTGGTTTGGTATGTTAATTATGAATAAAAAAAAAGTATGATTAGTTGGTAGTGGGATATTGAGTTTTATATTAAAATAATATTTAAAAGAAAATAATTAAAGTTCATATGATATAAAATAAGAGAGGTGATGCGAAATGATGGTTAGCTAGAGTGGATGAATAGTGAATTAAAATTGATGAATGTGCAAGAATGATTGAGTGTTATTAACAATGTTTGATTTTTTTTAATTTTTTTTTAAATCCATATCCAAGCATGCTCCAAACATCGCCTGAAAGGTGAAAGTAGTCTTTTGCAAGTTTCTTGGTAAATCCTTTCTTTTTTTTGTTAATATTTATAGTATTGTTTTGTTTTCGTGTGTAGATAGTTATCGATTCTTGTTGTGCGACATTTGCGGAAGTTAAAAAGAGGGGGAAGGACTTCTGGGCTGAGTTCGAGTTATATACAGCCGATCTTCTTGTTGGTGTGGTAGTAAATGTGGCTTTAGTTGGCATGCTTGCTCCATATGCCCGAATTGGGCAACCTTCTTCTTCTCAAGGATTGCTTGGTCGTATGTTGAGAGCTTATGGGGCGCTGCCTAGCAGGCATGTTCTTATACCACTAGCTTTTACCCCGTTTATTTTTTTTTTTTTTGGTTCGGCTAAGTAATTAGTCGTGTCTTGTACTGATCTGTAAATGTAGTGTATTCGAAGCAGAAAGGCCGGGGTCTCAATTTTCAGTGAATCAAAGAATTGCTACGTATTTTTATAAGGTAATAATAGCTAATATCTATCTGCATTGTGGTCATATGACTCATCTTATGGAAACAAGATATATCTTCTTCTTCTTTACTCTAATTAAAAAGCTCCACTTTTGCTCTGCATTGCCTCTTATCTTTATTTTGGCATAATCGGCATGATCTTCAGGGCATTCTATATGGATTGGTCGGTTTTGGCTGTGGTATTATCGGTCAAGGAATTGCTAACTTAATAATGACAGCCAAAAGGTATTGTTTGTTGATTTTTGATTTTACATAGAGACTCAAAAATAAAGTTGAATCCAAATCTTTCTTTCTTCTTTTATTTCGGATTAGAATCTTATCTGAATAGTGTAAATCGATCGAGGAGAGGTTTACTCCATGTTCACCTGTACTTATACCTTGTGTGACATTTTTAATGTGTATTGAATTTATAAATAAAAAAAATTGAACGATTTTTGCCATAAATGCATTTTCTTTTTTTTTTCTTTTTTTTTTTCTCAGGAACATAAAAAAATCCGAGGATGATATTCCAGTTCCTCCCCTTATAAAGAGTGCAGCACTTTGGGGTACTATACCTTTTCTTCACAACCCTTTTTGTCTTACTCACGGTTTGCATACTTTTTTTGCGGTGAAAATACATTTTCAGTCCTGTTGGTTTAACTTCACAGCAATTTTAGTCCCAATATTCCAACTTTCCACCTTTTGGTATGTGATTTAATATTTTGCTCCAATTTCAGTCTTTCAAGGATTGAAATTGCAACAAAATTTTAAATTACAGGACTTAAATTGCTCATCGAAGATCTGGGAATTTGAGAATTTGTCGAATTTCAGTCATTTGCAGCAAAATATTAAATCACATGACTAACTTTTCACCTTTTGGTCATGTGATTTAATATTTTGTTGATTTCAGTCTTTTCAAGGATTGAAATTGCAATAAAATTTTAAATTACAGAACTTAAATTGCTAATCGAAAATCTTGGATTTTGCGAAGTTGTCGCAATTTCACTCATTGCAGCAAAATATTAAATCACAGGACTATTGGAACCTTCGGACTAAAATTGCTATGGCGTTAAACCCGTAGGACTAAAAATGCAATTTTACTTTTTTGATCCTTGGTAAATTTATGTTCTCGTCTCGTTTTCGGGCAGGTGTTTTCTTGGCGGTGTCCTCAAACACTCGGTATCAGATTATCAACGGCCTCGAACGTATTGTGGAGGCATCTCCGTTGGCTAAGAAGGTGCCACCTGTCGCGATGGCTTTCACGGTCGGCGTACGATTCGCAAACAATGTGTATGGTGGAATGCAGTTTGTGGATTGGGCTCGATTGTCCGGTTGCCAGTGACCCTACCCGAGCTCAAGTAAAAAACTTTCGACTCCAGCCTTTTGATTATTCTTATCTAGCACAAATAATTAATAATTGATGAACGTTTCGTGTGCCGAGTTATTACAACTGTTTTGTTGTTTGATTTGGAGAAGTTTGTCCTGAACCTGATTGAAATTTAGTTCCTTT